TGATTATCTGGATTTAAGTAGTCCAAATGTCATAGCCCTAATATTAAGACTCTTAAAACTTTCAGAATACTCTTTTTGCTTTTACAAGTGTTAGTGAAACTGAGATGATCTTAATAGATCTTAAAATGAACTTCACAAAGAGGTCATGTCTCATTTGGATTCAGAATACCAGATTAAAAGGATCATTACGTACTTATGCAGTTTAATCCATCACCTCTGTACTCTTCTTTGCATTTACATTTGTAAGACCCAAGTGTATTGTAACACTGGGAATAACGTCCACACTGATATTGGCCAAGAGAGCATTCATCTATGTCTGTAACAGAAAAGAAAATAAATACTATTTTAATAACAATCATACATTTGCATTTTCGAATTAACACTCTTTCTTTAAAAAAAATTAACACAAATCCCATTGCTGTATTAAAATGCTGAAATTCTAACGGTGAAAATTAAAATGGAAGGCAAATTATTTGAAGAGGCTTGAATGAATCTGTGTTTTAAAGAGGTGTTTTAAAGAGGTCCCAGTGGTCTTTTACAAGCAATAAAATAATAAAAGGTCAGAAGTTTTAGATAGTTGAGTTTTGACTTATAAGCTTTTCTGTGATAATAGAATACTGCAGGCTACAAGAAAGAACTACATATTACAGGATGGATTCACATTGCTTGAAATTAATAGCCATGCTGGCTGATGATCATTAGAGTTGAACCCTACATGTCTAGAGGACTGGGAAAAGTTCTATGAACTATGGTTTATTAAGCAAGGTGGCTGGCTTTCCAGTTTATGCTATGCAAAATCAAATATAATCACATTTTATTTGATATTTGAATCCAGCCAAAAAAATTGCCTCATTCACCCACCCCACCCCATTCCAACAGTAACTTTTTTAAAGTTCCCCTTCACTTTCTCCATAATTCAGGTCTGTCAGATCTGGGCAGAAAAAGCCGAGATGGTCAGTAAATGGTGGCACTGAGTTTGTCTTCTATTGCCTAAATCACTATCATAAATTTTACAGAAGACAAAGAAGTTACCTCCTATAGCTCTTAATTTAGTTCTAGAGTATGTGAATCCACTTTGATAATTCAGCATACTAACTATAGTGGAAAGCCAGAGAGCATAAACTCAGCATTCTACAGTTCCTGAGATCTGAAGTGAAGTTCCACATGCATTTGGCTAAATATGTTTTATGAGTTTTGTAGAAGAGAGGTCTCTGATTATACAAAATATGATGACAATATTCAGGCAAATACAGGTATCAAGTCCCTTCAGAGCTTCCCTGTTGTCTATGGCAGTTGAAGATAGGGAGAGCAGAGCAATCCTGCTTCCCTTTCAGACTTATGTTTTTCAAATGCTTGAAGTCGACTTTGGTGCAACAAATATTTATAAACTGTTTTCTTTTATGAATGATTTTCATTACCATGGCATTGGTATCGGCCTCCAATGTACATCAAATCAAAGCCTTTATGACACTTGCAAATATAACTTCCAAAAGTGTTGACGCATTTCCTGAATCGGGGACAGGTAACGCTCCCAGTGATGCATTCATCCACATCTACAAATAATAATTAGTAGCAATGAGTTTCATATATTCAAATTTAAAAACACATTTATCTTGGACAATCTGAAAGGTCAACAGTCTTCTAGGGCATTACTTTTTATGTAGTAGTGCTGTGCAGAAATTATAGTTAAATTTTAAGATGAATGTATGGATGACTCTATTTTTCCTCCATAAAACCCATCTTTTCAAATGGAATTTCGCATTCATAATGTGGCATAACTTTATAAAAAAGCGGGTTTAAATCCTGTGGAAAACCATTGTGTACAAAACATTCTGAATGTTAGAAAAGAAGTGTTAAAGGAAGAATTAGAACACTGAAATGTTTAATTTAGGAAGAGGTAATTAAAATCTAGTATCCTTCAAAAGCACAATTTATTCTGATTTATTATAATTTACCCTGTTGCACAAGTGAATTTTATTGGCAGATTTCCATGCTGAAAGTAAAGTTCAACCAAGGACATTAAGTGACTGTTGAAAAGAATTGATTTAATCCAATCATTGGAAGGTTTCATATCCAAACTACAATGCTTGTCAAAAGCTTTATTAACTGTTTCTGGAAACTATTACAAAATGTAACTATGTGTTCACAAAATGATTTATAGAGAAAAGTTCAAGACTCCAGGCATACCAGATTCTAGGGATCAACATTACTACATGAAAAAGATACATTCATAATATATCCTTTCACAACACTGAAACAAGGCATTTTAACCACTGAGTTCAATTACCTTCTCTATTATGAATCCAACTGAAAATATCTGTGATAGATCTTTATCCAATTTCTGTATGAACACAATAATATTAACACCATCAAACAACAACATCTGCCTATAAATCAGCTGTGGTGGTCCCAGTGGCTTCTGACAGTGTTGCTGTACAGCAGTGACCAAAATTGTGGAAACCTTTTGGGAAAAGTGTACAGTAGAAATGCCACCTTTGGTTAAGTTTACATTAATTTTTCTTTTAATTTCTTTATAACTGTAGACTTGTTCACTTAATAATACTATTTTACATCACTTTCTGGGCGACCAATGAACTCTTTGCACCATTACTTTAATTTTATTACGTTTTACAAGCTCACTAAATGAAAGAACACAAAAAACCCCAACCAACTTGATAGCGATCACATAACACATTCACAAATGTCCTCCTCTTAGCTTCAATACATGACATCAATAACTGAATCCTACTGTGATCTGATTGGCTCATTGCCAAAACAAGATGACAACTGATTAGCTCTCTAAACACTCATGTTCATTGGCTATTCCCAAAAAAAGTGGTTTTATTAGCCATCAAACCTCAAAAATACACTTTTTCCCAAAAGATTTCCACAATTTTGGCCACTACTGTAATTAAAAAATCAGCACTTAGAAAATCAGCGTATTGATAAAATTTCAAAAGGCCATACTCCTTGGATCCGTATAGTACAGTATATGTAAATGCTGATACATTATGACATGCTAGATTCTTGGGAAGAACTTGATATGTATGAAAACCAATACCAACTAAAGAACTGGCAACTCTGATTTCACATTGTTGTGTATATGATATAATTTGGTTAACAGTGTGACCAACCACAATATTTAACTTGTATGCCATCTGACTCTGAATGACTCTGGGCTGCTCACAACAATCACACAAAGGAATTACAATAAAATCAATAAAAAATAAAGATAAAAGAAGGCTAGAGTGATGAAGTGAGGGGTCTCCCTTTTCCTCACCAAAGGTCTGGGTAAAAGAGCCATGTCTTCATGTCTCTACTAATCAAGAGTGGGTGGGGGTGGGTGTTTTTTTGGAGGAACCTCATTCCAGAGAGCAGGGGCTCTGCAAAGAAGGCACACTTCCAGAGTCCTAAGAGATGACATCCTTTAATCAACTGAATGGTTCCTTCAAAACTGGTCCATTATCAAACTGCCTTTATTATCAAGTTTCTCCCAATTTTCAGTCAGAATCTGCCTGTCTGAAGTTTAAGTTCACATTGTAATTGTAAACGGCCATAGGAGGAAGGCATAAGATGAACCATACAATCACAAAGCAAACTCTGCCTCTTGCATACTACATTACAACGTTAAGTATAAAAAGGCAGAGATTTCATCTTGATGACCCAGTACACATTTCATCCTTTTGGCATCATCATGGTTAGGAACAGACACCTATCTTTGCAATAGTTTCTAAAAATAGTTAATTTTTACTTCTGACAAATATTGTAATATGGAGAAAATACTTTAAACTATGTAATGATTTCCTACAGTATTTAAAGTGAACAAATTCATTTCAGTGATCATTTGATGGTCTCCTTTACATTAGTATATTCTTTCAGTCTTATAATGCTCTTTATTTCCCAAACCTATTTCTGAATGACTGTTCAGATTGGTTGAAAATACATGAAGATTCTTTACTTCTTAAAAATCATTCAGGTAATTTAACATTTTCAAGAACCAGAATGACTCTTTGTTTCTCTCATTTCTGCCCAACATCAATTGTGAATGATTCCTTCATTGTTGCATTTAAAACAAAAATGGCACATTTTTCAGTCTTTTTTTCACTACTGATATCCCTAACTCTAAGAATGTCAATATGGTTTTTTTTTCAATTTTATTCTTCTGCAATTCTTTAAAAATTCAAGATGCATAATAATTAACAGAATTCAAAGGCCCAAGAACATTAAAAATCCCACTAGTATATCAGGAATGGAGAACTGTTGTTTCTAAGAATTTGACTTTGCTTGAGTATTATTTTGACATGAGTGTGATACGTGCTCAACATTTCCTAGTAAGTAGATTGTTATAAAGCAGGGGTGCCCAATCTTGGCCACTTCAAGACTTGTGGACTTCAACTCCCAAAATTCCCCAGCCAACATATCTTAAAGTTGCCAAGATTAGATACCCCTGTTATAAAGGTTCTTTTAATCTCCAAAATTCCTTCCTTCAAACAAAATTTATTGTGAAAAGCTGCCCAGAATTTCCACATCTTATGGAAGAGAGAAAATAAATATTTTTTTACTCACCCATGCAGGTTCTGCCATCTGGTGCCAGCTGTAATCCTGGTGAAGGACAACGACAGTGTATTTCCCCCTTAACCACATCACAGCCATACTGACAGTTTGCCATTGAACACGTGAGAGCATCTGTGGAGAAATCAATATGTTAATCAAATGCTTCAGAATGTTTTTCACGCTGCCAATTTATTTTTAAAATAGCATTGTAATGCAATTTAACAACAGAAAAAGCCAATGCTGTGATTATCTTGATGAGATGTTTCCTTCCTGATTGCAGAGAAAACTCTGTTATTTCTCCCAATCTTGATGTACTAAAATACGGTAGGCAAATTTATTTTAATAGTAGAAAGGCGGAACTTCCTTTTTACTATTAAGAGCTGTGGTGACACAGTGGTTAGAATGCAGTATTGCAGGCTATCTCTGCATTCCCACTTCCAGGAGTTTGATCCTGAACGGCTCAAGGTTGATTCAGCCTTCCATCTTTTCAAGATCAGTAAAATGAGGACCAAGATGATTGGAGGCAATATGCTGATTCGGTAAACTGCTTAGAGAGGGTCTGTAAAACACTATGAAGCAGTAAATAAGTCTAAATGCTATTGCCATTCACATACAGGAAAATTATACTAGAACATTAAAACTGGGAACCATGGGAAAGCATGGGATGATTTTGATAGATTTCATTTGTGATATTGTATTTTGGGGATTGTGGGGAAGGCTGCCATTTATTTAACAAGTTTTCAGAACCACAGCTTGGAGAATCTTTGGATTTCTGACAAAAGCCTATAGTTCAGGGAAATTTTGGAAATTAGTATTTTAAGTACCAACATCTATCCTCAACTCATTGTCCAAATATAGAGAACGAATGCCACCTTAAAGCAGTAACTTCATTACTACATGAAGTACTATAAATTGCCATATACTGTTTACCAAACTGACCACAGGTACCACTGTATTCATCTTTCACTGCTTCCAATCACTCTGAAAATGCATTCGGTTTTTCATTACTTCATGAATTCTCAAACATTTTCCTTGCCACTTACTCATTTCTATCCCACCCATCCTTTCTCGGTGAGAGAAAAAAAAATTAGAGTAGTGTGTATTTTAAACACTCAGCACAGGTGGGGCAAGCCTGAGTATTTGAAAAGGCTATAAGGACACAGAACAATCTTGGCAAAAAGTAAAAATCAGCTCTTTTGGTAGTTCTGTTTCTGATATCCTCTCAAGTCACAATTGCCTGACTGGTTGAGCTTTAAAGTTTTTAAACCTGTTAGCAGATCTGATTCTGATCAGGGTGAAGATTGAAAAGAAGCAGGAAAAAAGAAATAAGAGAAATACAAAGAATGTCTCACCTGAGACCGAAATTACTGAAATGTGTGTGAGGGAGGGAGTTCCTAATGAAGAGAAATGGAGATGGAAGAAAGGGACAACCCCTCAAAGCCAGAAAGAGGGACAGGACAAGTATTTTGTGAGTCATGTGGTGGTGGTATGGAAGTCAGAGATAGAGAATAGACTTGAGGGTAGAGAGTAGCTAATGATTTTCTTGCCAAACATGGCAGTCATATAATACAACTGCTTGGTTTCACAGCGAAAGCACTACATTAAAAGCCTATTAATTCTTGGGTTGGGCAGGAAGAATAAAGAATTTTACATCATTGAGGGTATATAAATAATTTGCATACTTTCACCAGTAATGATTAACTATTTTGTATGGTTGCCTTACTGTCTGCAACAAATATTTATAACTAGCGGAGATGTGAATCTTCTGCCAAGATAAGCTAAGAAGCCAATCTGTGACAGAAAATTAATCAATTACTGTCAAGACCTGGCCATGAAATTCTGACAAACTTAACAAACATCCATAATTCTTGATATGTTGTTACATTCCAAATATGACAATTGTGAGTCACATAAAAAGTGACTCTTGTATCTTGTGAAAATAAAACAAATGGAATGCTATTTCTTCTTTTTTGCTTTGGTTTTTTTAATCTCATTTAACAGAGTCCTTTGCTTAAGGCAAATTAACTCCTGCTTCCAAAGAATTCCACTGTAAAAAAATTGAAACAATGAAAACATAACCTACTAGAGCATGATCCATCAGGCATAAGCATGTATCCATTCAGACAATAACATTTGTAGCTTCCATAGGTATTCATACATCGATGTTTGCAAGGCCTTGGTTTCAATCCACATTCATTGAGATCTAAAGAGGATATAGGGAGGGTGAGGAGCAAGAAATAAAACATTAGATGCTAGCATTTGAAGTTTTGGAAGTTCAAAGTCAGTTATTTTAGAAAATTAAGTCTGCTTTACAGTAGCTGTATGTGTGTGTGTGTGTGTGTTACATTTGGATTGCTAACAAAGAGTTAAAGGGAAGCTGGTATAGCTATTTTGAGCTCTTTAGCTCTCATCAGCCAGCTACACCCTTCTGAGATTCGAACCTAGGCTGCTTGCACGTTAGGAATTCAATCATTACTGGATAACATAACCCAAACTTAGTAAATAGATATGAATATATACAATATATTGAAGGCAAAATGCAATAACTTATTACATTTTTATACTGTTCAGATTCAGAAAGTGTAGGTTATGACACATAGTTTTGGTACACATGGTTTGGTACACAAATGTAATGATTTGGCAGTGTTAGGGCACAGTGTTAAAATAAATCTTAATAGAGGAAATATATTTTTACTACTTGCTTAATTTTAATTCAACATTAATTGTATATTTTTGCTGACTTTATTCAGTAACTTTGAGAATAAGTCAAAAGCAGACAAACAGAGTCTTGGTTTTAATATTTTAAGGTTCAAACCTTGCAAACTGCACTAGAAATAGGGCGTTTCACATCAGCTTCATTATTTCTGTACTGGTATTCCATTCAAACGCTAAGAATGTTAACTTAGGGGTTCCCCAATATAATTTCATTAAAGGGGGAAAAAAATCTTTTTTTAAAAAAATTCACTGTTTCACTGTAACATCTCTAATAAACTGCCTTTCTGTTTACATTCTGTAACAGCTTTCTTAGATCTGTGTTAAAAATATTGGATATATTTTAATACAATATTTTTATCAGCAATATGATAATAATATGAATATCGAAGACTCCACTACAAATCTAAATCACACAAAAAACTAGTCTTCAGTAAGGATTTCTTAAGTAGAAAAAAAATGTCTATAAATGGGCCTTGGATTTATTTTGTTCATTTGGAAAATAATTTAAGGCCATTAAGGCAGGCATAAGATCGCAAAGGATTTTATACCATAATCAGAGGGCAACCTTTAATCCGAGTTGTGCTTTTTTCACTGATCTCAGTAGCCTTTGATCATCTACATGAACTATGCAGACAAAGCAACAGGAATGCACATATCCCCATGTGACTTGCAAATACACTGAATACACATTTTAGAAACTCACAATCCTGTGCAGCATTCCAGATACAAGTTTGCAACTCTCAGAACGAACTGAATCCTGGCACTTGTTATCTATACTATATAACCCTATTTAAAAAAAAAATCTGTTTTAGCCAGTGACACTATACTTGTGGTTTTTGTACATAAAGGAAAGGAATAGTTATAGCTAAACATGTCAGCAATTAGTTTAGCCACAAAAGTGTCAGTATTTTAATGAATTGGCATACATGATGCATTTTTCAAAAAGATCAGAAAATGTGTTCCATAAAGATCTTGCTTAGAATACTCTATGAACTAAAAAAAGTAAATCTAGCAAGTTGGATCGAATGTAAGAAAAAGTTACAAAAACGTTAAATTACCAAAACTTTTTTAAAAAATCCACTGCGATCTTCCATGTTTCTTTGCATTTTGAAAATAATTTAATGAGAAGTGCTTTAGCAAGCTTTATTTTTGTTGGTTGCTGAGATTTTTCTTCATAACCAGAGGCTACAGTTACACACAAAAAGGATAGTACTAAAATAGTAACATAGGAATATTGCCATCATTAAAACTATACATTGAAGAGCATATAGAGAAAGCTAGGTGTTTGAAGCAGCCCTTTTAAAAAGCCAGTCTCAAAAGCGCAGGCTGCTAAGCTTAGCTACTGCATTATAGGAAGAGAAATGGTTAATGCTTTTCTTAGAAAGCAAATGGCTTTTGTGTGCTATCACTGCAAAGCAGTTCCTAGCTAAAATATATATAATAAAGATTTAACAGTTGCATCTAACAATGAAATACAATTGCTTTTCAGGTGCCATAAAAATCAACACTTTTAATCAGCTAGATGAAGTGAAACTGTGCTTCCAGGATCAGGCTTGGAGACATCATCAGTGCTGAGATCCACCCACAGAGGTGTGGAAGGACCTGACAACTCTGCAATATTTAAATCCTTTTCAACTTCTCTTTGTTCTTGCCTGCATGCTCCAAACAAAAGTTCAACTAGGGACAAGACAGCCATCTTCCCAACCACCAAAGAGATCTAACCATAGGTCCCATTCTCCTACTGATAATTACAGACTGCACGTGCACCAGCAGAAGACAAAGGAACTATTACCCTCAATTCAGCAGGTAACAATAAAAATGTTTAAAGAACCTTAAGAACAATTTCCTGTAACAGAAGATGTGGTAAAATATTGATCCCAGGGTTAATTATTCATAGTTATTAACTTACACAGGTTATAACCTGAATCTTGTGAGTGATAGTTCCAGTCACTATAATAACCCTTACCAAGCCACATTGTCTGATAGTTTTCCTATTGCAAAAATCACATTTTCTGAATAAACTCTATCAACATGCAGCATTATTCTAAATGAACTACCTATTCTCAAGATATGACGAGACTCCAGAAAGCCCTGCTGGATGGGATTTCTAGAAATATAGTCCCAACAGATCTATAGAACTTCAGGCCCATAAGCACTCCAATTCTGATTACTATTGTCCCATGTGCATTGCACTACCTGAAAAATGCACCAAGGACCTGCTCAATTGTCACAGCTAACAGGCTTCTGGGAATAATCTAATTATCCTCTTGAATAATATATTGCAAAGTGCTAAGAGGTCTGCTGTACCTCCTTAATATATATCAAAGTTCTACCCCTTCTTCCAACTCAACCTTTCCTATTTTGCAGCATCTTAGATACAGTAGTTGTCTTTCTTATCTTCTGTTATTCGCAAGATCTGACATTATCCAGATACAGCACTTTCTGCTTATGTTTTTCTCAATCTCTAGATGGAGCATCAAATCCTGGATTTTCTCCAAATCATAAACCTTTTTCTTAAATGTGTCAAGAGATGTTACAGTAAACCTATAAGCTTCAGGATTGCCTGTATGTTATATTATTATTGCCATTGCTCGTACTATACTGTGCATGCATTTTACATGCTAATACTAGCACTACTGTTCCTGGAAGAGAAACTGCCAGAGATTTTAACAAATGCTACAATTATGATGTTTACTTAACCTTATATAAGCAAGCAGCATTTTATCAATTAAAAAGAAGCTTAGAAAAAGTAGCATACATCCCAAAAGCTCTGAACAGGTGAACATCCACAGGAAGAAAGTTGTTGAGGAAGAGAATTGTTTGGAGGATAGGGTAACTATCAACGCACAGTCTAATTGCATGCTGCCTATATTGCAGGCTTCTTTGTGGCAGCCAGAAGTTTGTTATCCTTTCAGCCTGTTTGCAAAAGAGGTTTCCATATGTACTGAAGCCGTGCAGGTGGAAAGCATGGACCACCTGAAATAAAGGATTGTCCTCACCCCTCCAAGGCAAATATGTGGCATGATCTTCCGCAGTGGTGAAAAAAGGTGGTTCACTGGACCAGTGTTGAGAGGTTGCAAACTGGTGTGCAGCTTCATAATGGAGGAGAAGGCATAACAGAAGTCAAATGACTGAAACTCAGCAACACAACATGGCACTTTATTAGGTGAAATATCATTTCTGCATGTTACACTCAACTGTCTCAGTTCTCTTTAAAAGAGCAGCAGCAGATTGGGTTCAGGGGAAGAGATAATCTAGCTGAATTTGCAGCATGGGCCTGAAAAAGCTGAACGTTCAACTGAGAAGTCAGTGCTATACAAACCTTGAAAAGGTGAATCTTCTTGCAAATCTGGAGTCAGAAATTATTTGAACAGATTAGCACTTCTACTACTGGGGCACCCACAAATGATACACAGTTCAGATTTAAATGAAGTGGAATCTTAAATTTAGAGAGAAACACAAACTGAAACACAAGAGAGTACCTGCTACAGGAATAGTTTTGTGATAGGCCCCACTGCATGCACTCAGAATCTCCAATGTTCTGAGAATTCCTTTAGCTCCAAACTTTTGACAATTCTTGCTTAGATTAGAAAGAAGGGTATGGTATAACATTAGTTATACTACCAAAAGTAGAAGAAAATACAACAATATTGAGGGAAGGAGAGGGGGAAGGGTAAAGCAGGGAAGAGCCCAGGACAAAATGTGAGGTCTCACAAAAATCTTTCAGGTGAAGTTTAATATACCTGAACAAGTAGGTTTTTAAAAACATTTAGAATTCACTAAGCTGTGAAAAGATGAATAATTCCCAGGAAACACATTTCCTGTTGCACCAACTTTCTCAAGTTGTCAGATATTCTAAAATGCTCATTTCATTTTCCATCAGGACAGAAGCTTAGGAAAGCTTTATTAGAATTCATGAGTGTAACTGCACTTTTAAGCCCTTGAAAACAGAGAATAAACAGGCATACACATGTCACTTAATTGGACTTTTCTTCATTTGATGGAATGAATTTTATTTCTATTTAAATTATTTTAGCATATGGATTTCTTTGCTTATTTTTTCAGAAAGCAGTGCTGGTAACAGCAATTTATGTTAAGCTCCCACCGCTTGCTTAAACTGTAAATATTTGTGGAGGATTGTGCTCGGCTGAACTAAGCAACAACAATTTGAACAAATGTTTCAAAGAGATAATACAATTTCTCATTGAGTTTAAACTGGCCAAGGGGGAAAATAGTGTAACCCACAAGCCACATATGCCTGCCAGCATTCCTCTTTTTTTGTCCCCAGATTACAAAAAAGTGGGTAGAGTCTTTTTAAAACATACTCTTTTTTTTTCCATTTGGGGGAATCAGGAGATTTTAAGGGGGGGAAATAAAAATTTCCTATCCTCAAGCTTACTCTGGGAGTGAAGACTTTGATGTGCCCTCAAACCAATGGAAATAAGGAGATCAAAGATGCCACAATTGTTCACTTTCATTTGATAAAATATACCATTGGTTTTGCCTATCATTAAATCAAGTGGCCAATATCTGAAGCTGTACCTCTGCAGTATAAATTGCTCTTCCTTTATAATTCTGATAAGGACCAAACAATAGCTACTATAAAAACAATTAACTGAAGTTTTGTAAAGAAGCTTGAGTTTTATTTGTTTTTCTTTCCCTTTTTTGTTTCCTTACCTTGGTTGCATATTTTCCCAGTGTATCCTGGATGACATTTGCATTTGTTTGGACCAACACATTCTCCATGCTTACATCCAGGTTGACAAACAGCTGTGAATACCCAAAAAGAAGGCTATTATTCTCCTTTCAAATTAAAATGTTCACAGAATTAAAGAGAGTAAATTAAATAAATTTTCATGGTCTTTGTAGCTGTTGTATTTTGTTAGGTGCTTTTATTGTTGTTTTTTAACTTTATATTGTTTCAAGAAGTTTTTTTTAAAAAGTCTTCACTAATTGTTATATATTCAATAGTAGCCTTTATTAGAGTTAGAACAGTGAAATAGTACAGCCTTCCAGTACTATATGTTTCTACTACAAAACTCCACCGCCCGAAACATTTTCTCAAGAAGACAAAATAAAGCTGACTTATTTATAAAACAAAAAAGCATAAATAAAACTGTGGCCTCTTGCCAAAAAAAGGGTGTTTCTTTGCCACAAAAAGAAAAGATCATTCTTTGGCGTGGGTGTTTAAATATGAAATCTTAGCTATATTTTGCCATGTAAAGAAATAAAAAATGTAACAAATGCAAGTTGATAATCAAGAATGTCATCAGAATTAAGACTCCTTGAGTTGGGCGGAGGTGGGGGTGCGAGGGTGGAGGGACTGCTCCCAGGAAAATTACTATAAGGTTGCAGCCTATAGTGCATAACTAATCCTTCTGCCATGGTGAATAAACAGAAACTGCAAGGAGATTGCTTTTAATTAAATGCCAAATAAGCTTATCCTTCAACAACACTTTGTTAGGCTCGCATTCTACAAGGTGGCAAGTTCTGTCAAAAATAACCCAATATATATGATATGAACAGAAAAAAATAGAATGCTATGGATTGACAATGACCTTGTTTAAATAATCTGTAAATATGGCTGTAAAAGGACTATTATAGTGTGGGAGCAACTTAATACAAGAACTGACCTCTGAAAACTGACTGTTCTTTTTAATTATGGAGTTACCTGACAATCTTTGCTTGCTGACAAGAAATATTAATGTAACTATTAATAATTTGTTTTACTGATGAAATTTTAAATGGAATGTATGACCTTATAAATGATATTCTTTATTCCAGATATGTTTATTATCCCAAAATTACAATGGCTGGAAGTGCACATTTACAGTTTGTTAATATGCTTTCAGAAATCTTTACCATAGGCGTGGTTTTTAATCTTTGAGCAGCTCAATATGCAATCTTTTCTTCTATCATCTTGGAATGACAGTGCCAAATGCAGGGAAAATAATATTCTGTCTATATTTTAAATATAGCAGGCATTAGAATTCCAGAGAGATTTTCAACTAGTTAAATCACTGCCACTTTAGATTAGAATTGTGTATGAATCAGTCACTGTAAATAATGCACTGCTTTACATTTTGAAAGCGTTATTTCATTACACTCGTGGACAAAAATATCTCCAATGCCCAGAAGTTAAGCTACTTGGATTTTTCATGTAATAGTACATCTATACTGTAAATCAATATATATGACAAACATTCCTTAGTATAGTACATAATATTGGAATGCCTCCAGAAAGTTCAGTGGAATTACTCAGACAGTAATGTCTGAAGCTGATTCTCAATTCTATGACAAAAAACAAGTTGCCACAAGGAAAGTTGACACTGATTTGGAAACAAAAGCCACCCACAATTTTGGCCTGAGAATTGGAAATATCCAGATAACGTTAAACTTTATTTTCTCTTGAAATATCTGGGCATGGACTTCAGCCCAGATAAGCCTTAATAAAAGCATTCTAAGATTCCTTGCTCTATCTTCTGCAACAACTAGAAGATGGGGGAGAAATCTCAAAATTATCAACATAGCCCATAAAGGAACAACACCATTCCTGTAGAGAATCCACATCTCAACCTCTTTATTAAATGTCAATGTAATTTTTTTAAAGAATGATTATTATACAGTAGTAGCATCCTATACATGTTGAAGTACAGGGACTGGCATTTTATTCATAGGCAGTTTCCTGGCCCAGAAAATATTGGATTTTCTTCTCCTACATTCAGTCCAAATGGCACCTTTTGTGGTAGCAACTAATTCTATACATAAATAGCCTAAAGAATCTTTCAGTGGAATATAATCCAGATAGCATATCTATTGGACATGTTAATCTGAAGCAAACCTGTTGAGTCTTTAGTGACGTAAATGCCTGGATAGGCTTTTGCTTGGGAACTCTTAAAGAGCTCGTGTAATTAGAAATCAGAATCACTGTCAATTAGTTCTAATTGAATTAGAAAACTTATTTCAGATTCCACAGCAGAGGGTGTTGTCTTGAGTTATATACCTGTATTACAGAAATCAAAGCACAGGGCAGCTAGATTAATTTTATGCACACTGGGTGTTCTCACTATGGCTCTGTCTAAATGTGTTGGGACTGCCACTCCTAGAAATTCAATCCTAACAGATCTGGAAAGCCACTGGTTGAACATAGCTATTGTATGTTGCTGGGCAGTTGCAGATGTCAGATCAATGGCTATTAACGTGATGGCAGTATGATTGCCACTGAAGGCCAACTCTGGGCAGATAGTGGGCTTTCCTGTGTAGTTGGTTGGCTAGGTTTTAGAAGAGTCTGCTGTATTATTTGGGCCAAGGGTACAATCCAGCAGGACACATGCTATGTTTTCCTCTGGCTTTTGGACACCTAGATAGGACCCAACCAGATACAATGAAAAATATTTCTAAGGAAACATACACAGAGGTGCAGTGAAGTCCTAATAAGATTTGTTCATAAGGAAGTCTCACAGTATTCCCAGATAAACATATACCAAATTGCTAGCTTGGTCACTATTTCTGGCAGGGATTCAAATGGAAATTTGCATACAGCAACATTGAAATAAATGACTAGAAAACAAATGACTGTGTATAGCATTGTTTAAAATTGTAAATAGATAAACAATTCAAAACAGGCTTTCCTGATATCTTATTTATAAAACTGAAAATGATGTCACAATTGATTCATATTAGTTAGGAAATCCTCCACTGTATGGGAATGCTTAAAAAAAAGGGTTTTGTTGCCTTAAAATAACAAATAAAATAAACACATACTTTTTTCTCAGTTTACATAGAACGTTATTTCCCCAAATTAGCAGTTACAGCTCCAAAACACCATAGTGCCAAAATTATTTCAAGAAATATGTTCAGCTAACCTTTGGGCTGGCACCTTATCCTGGCTATTCTCTGTCTTAAGATGTAGAAAGCTGCAAAACAAATTTCCATAAAAAGCAATTCAAGCTGTTTTTAAAAATTATTTCTGAAAGGAGGGTGAACTTGGATGGGATTTTATCAATTTGCTACATTCCTGCAGACTTACACACACGTTCAATTTTTTTTCTGAAACAAAAAATAAACAAACTGAGACACATGTAAAAAGAGAATACCTTATATGTCACTAACTTGCTATGAGGTTTTGCAATGAGATACATTGTGTATAAAAGTTAATAAAAAGAAATTGTGTCATGCTATTCCTCTTTGACCTATTAAACTCCAAAAGTGAAACAGGCTCCCTAATCTCACCACGCAATACACTATGGTAAAACAGTCTATTCCAACATCCAGTACAAATGCAATTCAAATATTCAAAATAATTTTTTTTAAAGAAACAGTATCCTTTTCTATCCAACCAAAGCATCAATTTTTGGCCCACTGTCATCACTTACAAATTTGACAAAAAATAATAAAGAACCTTTGGGCATCTAGAGACTTCAAGTGCACAAAAGCTCAAGGCAACAAATTGATTAGTCACTAAGATGTCTTAGTTTCTGCTGCTGAAGATTAACACAGCTATTCCTTTAGGAATTTTAGTAAAATATTTTATCAGTTGTGAGACAATTGATAATTAAAATCATTGCATTTTTAATATATTGGATTACAGCAGCTTATGGGTTGGATTTTTGTTTGTTTGACATTGGCTTGTGTGATATGTGAACTTAACCAATGTGGTTTGTAAACTATGATTTATGCTTTAGTATTTTTCTTGAACTAGGTTATTATGGCTTCTTCAACAATTCATAAATTAGCCTTAATTAAAAAGCCAACAGTTAAGATGTTTGTCTAGAACTGGGAAGGTCCAGCATCAGTTGATGCTGAGTTGCCCATGAAAATTCACCTTAAGCTCCTAGAGATAAAGTGGGATAAAAACCAAAATAATGTTAGCAGTAATGATAATAAGGCACTCCAAGGACAAGGGGACATGCAACCCAAAATAGTTTAAAAGGCTGCAATAAATAATTTGCTGCAGCTGTAGCGTTACATGATCTTAGCCTTTCAAGCCATGATGTCCCAAAATTGAAATTAAACTGAAATGCTAGAGAAGAAACACAAAAGCAATAGGCTTATAAACTACTCCATAGGGCTTTACAACTTCTCTAAGTTGTTTACAGAGTCAGCATCTTGCCCTCAACAATCTGGTCTTCATTTTACCCACCTCAGAAGGATGGAAGGCTAAGTCAACCTTGAGCCAGTGAGAATTGAACTGCTGGCAGTCGGCAGAATTAGCCTGCAATACTGCATTCTAAACACTGCACCACCACGGCTCAGTAACATTTCAGTTTAATTTCAATTTCATTTATTAAAACTAATATAATTCAAGATCTAGGGGGAAAAAAGAATAAATTCTGACCTACACCTGTTTAGGCAGAATAGCAAACCATGGTCCAGTCTTATGTGAACCAGCAACAAAGAAAAGGCAGTTTACCTCTCTCATGTATGAAAAGACTTTGCCTGCTCCTGTTATTTATTAGTGCATCATGAAAATAAGACAGAAAAGCAAAATTCCTAACAAGCACAAATCTTGCCACAATGGATACTGTTTCCTTAAAAATGCAATACATGTTCCCTTTGAAGTTTTGCTAAAGTACATTAGACTTTTTCAAAATATCATTAAAGAGGAGGGGAAAAAAGAATAACAGAATCTCATTGTTTTCTATACAAACACAATAATGCAGTTCTGTATCAGTTTAGCATACAATAATTCAGATGCATAAACTGAAACTTAAATAGTGAAAATAACCTCCTCGTATTGCAATGCTCTTTTTTGTAACGG